GGGGGGCGCGGGTAGACAAGAGGTCTACATATCCAGTGGATGACCTCAGGGTAGCCAATGACCTTCTGAGGTAGCAGCTTCTTATATACCCTCTTCCCACAACCAGAAGTACTCTTAAAGTAAGGTCAAGTGTGAGCCAGAGACGGATGGGGATCTGAGGACAAGAGCAAGGCAGGTAGGGAAGGGTTAGAAAGGAGACCGTTCCTGATGTCTTGTGCCTCTTTGCTTGTTTGGAAACTTCATATACCAATTCAGAAACCAGGAATTCTGCGCTTCCCAAGTAGGTCATTATGAAAGGAATACCGTAAGCAAATCCCTAGTGAAAGGTACTTTAAATGCTAATGAGTCTCTAGTTTGGGTGGAAAATTTTAGAAACCAACATTCACTATCAAATGGAATATTTAGAGAAAAGATGTATGCTGCTTTCTCAAATGCCATATAATGGGAAACGGTTGGGAATGAGAGAGGTAGCCCCAAACTTTTCTCAAGGGTAACAATTTAGGATGGGGAGAAGTGGTACAGCAGCATCTTTCAGAAAATGGCCTAAGTCAGCCTGGAAATCACACACTCCATTCAGTGGAAGGTCATGGTGTTGACAGAAACATCTGGGTATGTCTACATTTGTGCCAAATAGAGTCTGGCATTAAAGGAGTAAGATCCATTCCATTTCTCCCCTGTGCCCCACCTCTTTTTTTCTTTTTCTTTTTAAATTCATCAGATTTTATACTTTCAAGAAGGAATTTTTCAAAGCAAGGTACATATATTTTTACACTATGCACATTACACTCCTAAAGGATATAGCTAACACAGAGATATTTATACAGATATTAGACCTGAAGGGGCTCAAGTAAAATTTGTTATGTGAGGCATAACTTACAGCCTAGAAGAACAGATCAGAAGTTTTAATGTCATCCTTAATGGCGTACTAATGACAGCTTTCTGCATGTAGAAAGTGGGCTGAATAATAGACCATTAGACCATGAACAGAGATTTTGAATTTATATTTCCTTTTCATCTTCTTTCTTTCCATTAGCCTTGATGGATAAAAAATTATGTAGCAATTGACTGCAGCCTACACTGGATCATTTGTATAGAGAAATGATGATAATGGTGGTTGGACCCTGAAACTCTTTGAAAGTAATTTTCTAGGAAAGAGGCTCCTCTTTCTTCATAAATCAGTTTTACTTTGTAAAAACATAAAATGGTTTTTCTATTTTGAAATGTTGCTACACATTCTTTTTGCAGCTGTGATATGTAATTATGAAGCTTCAAAGACATGATGTAGTCTTAAACTAGGTAAAATACAAGTATAGTTGGGTATAACAACTTTTATCTTGAAGATCTTTTAGTAAGGCAAGAATTTTCTGATTGGACAGATGGAGATAGGACCCTTAGATTTTGGTGAAAATTAAGTACCTATTGTAAAGATTAATGATGTGCCCAAGTCTTCCATATAGAAATACAATATGTATAGTGGAAAATCTTAAATACTCCAACTTGGTTTGTGAAAAATTCTGTCTTCCAATCATGAGAACAGTATTGTGGAAAATTTTGAGAATTAGGATGCGCCCCAGCCTTTGCTCTATTAAAATTGATATGTGATCCTGGGCAAGTCATTGAACCTTTTCAACCATCAGTTTTCTCATCTGGCCATACTGCACTTCGTGTAGCTTCCCAAACTTTGCCATTTTATTTTTGTTGATCAGACCAAGGGCATGGGGGGTGAGGACAGGAAATGGCAAAATAAAACAAGTTAGGAAAGACAAAAGTACACTTCAGAATGTAGGTCAGTGGTTGCCTGGGGTTGTGGGCAATTGACTGCAAAAGGGAAAGCTTCGAGGGTGCTGAAAGTGTTTTAACCCTTGATTGTGGTGGTTGTAGCCAGAATACATAGACCAAACTCAATAAGCTGTATTTAAAAGGGTAATTTTATTGTATACCTCAAAAAAGCTTTTAATAAATGGAAAATAATCCAATTCAACCATCGCTTTGTACATGTGAACTATTTTGCATTGTATTGCAATATTTTGTTTCCATTTTATGTCTTTTTCACTAGATTATGAACTCTTTGAGGGTTGACCAAGTTAATTTTTGAATCTTTATCATTAGCCCACTCTGTCACACAGCTCCACACTAAAATGTTCAATGAGTAGGTGGCAGAGTAAATGCATAAATAAATGAGTGAATAGATGAGTTGGGCTATATGATCCTTGAAATTGCTTTCTGTCTCTGAGATTCTAGGAATCTAACCTTTATATGCTGTAGTTATTCATTAATCAATTTAAAAGAAAAAATTTAGTATGATCTTAGAAAAAAATAGGAATGAAATTAAATTCCAAAGCACTTTTCATGATGGAATAAAATTCAATTATGAACCTTAATACAATCCTATGGTTTATTTTAGCAAATTCAGCTTATCTAGAACATAAAAATGTTCTAATCAGATAGGAAAAGCCAGTTGAGGAGTGGAAGTGAACTGAACTGGCCACAGAAAGAACTCAGATCTTATGATAGCGATCTGGGGGTACCTAGAAGGGACCGGGCACCTGGCTAGCCAGGTATATGAGGTGGCAAATGTGTTGCTGATCTGTTTCAAATGGCTTGTAAATTGAGTTTTCCAGACATTGGGGCAAATGGCAAGTGCTTACTCTAGTGATTCACCAAGTAGAGGTCTGAGCCAAATTTTCTTTTTTTTTAAATTTATCTTTATTGACTTTGAGAAAGGGAGAGAGAGAGAGAGACATGGATGTGAGAGTGCAACATCAATTGGCTGAGTCTCACACGCCCCCTACCAGGGACTGAACCCGCAACCGGACATGCACCCTGACAGGGAATGGAACTGGCAACCCCTTCGTACACAGGGCGATGCCCAAACAACTGAGCCACACCGGTCAGGGCTGAACCAAATTTTCACCTGGACCAGCAGCACCCGTAGAACCTTGTACTGTGTTGGAAATGCAAATTATCAGCCCATTTCACTCAGAGACTCAGCCATCTGTGGTTCCACAAGCACTGCAGGTGATTCTATTGCAAGATATCCTGAAGCATCCTTATAGCCAGCACACCTAAATACAACCACACTTGTAAGGAAGGGACGGTGACAAACCAAAATCCTAAAACATGCTGACATTTGAATTCCCAAAAGGGCAAACTTATGTCCAGACCACAATTAAACAGTATAAATATTACAAAATGGAAATTGGTTACAAATGTGCTATTATTTGGATTTTCAAAAATATAACCTTTTTTTAATATCTTGGTAGAGTACTGCCAATATTCTTCTGATATGAAGGTTAGTCCTTTATTTTAACTACAGATTCCTCTTGTTGTGAGATAATAATACTTTCCTTTATATTAGGACGACAGTAGTACCATTTAATAGTGTTCATTTTACCAAGTACATTTCAAAATTTGTCAACACTAGGTTGGGCCACCCTCCTAAGTTTTTAATATGACCAGTCCATGATTTTAAAAGGTTGGAAACCACTGAGACACAGTGCAGGCTATACAAATTCCCATTTAGAGGCTAACCATAAACTGTCCCTGACCACCATGAAGAAAATATATATGAGTGAGAGGGATCTCAGAGGGAAGGCAGGCGTGGGGGAGTGGGTAGGGAGAGATTAATCAAAGAACTTATATGCTTATATGCATAACCTATGGACAGACATTGGTATGGGGAAGGCCTGGGGATAGGGTGGATGTGGGGCAGAGGGGATCAATGGGGGATAAAAGGGGACATCTACAATGCTTTCAACAATAAAGATTAATTAAAAAATATATATATGATACAAAAATATTTTCAATAATATATAACATGTGTATTATATATAATATAGATATAGTAATAGACTTTATCTAAAAATATCCATGTATATGTATTACTGATCCTTGAACAACTGCAGTGGTTAAGGGCTCTAATTCCCATGCAGTTGAAAATCTGCCTAATTTAAATCAGACGTTTTTGTATTTGTGGATTCCTAACTGTAGACTGAAAATACTGTTTTCCATCCATGCTTGGTTGAACCTGCATATGCAAAAGCAGGGGTCTGGATGGCTGACTGCGTATTTATTGAAAAAAATCCACACATAGGAGGACCTGTGCAGTTCAAACTCATGTTGTTCAAGGGTCAACTGTGTGTGTGTGTGTGTGTGTGTGTATATATTATCTTTCATTTTAAAAAGAACACATTTGACTTTATAAATTTTATTTCCACGATTTTAATTAAAATACCTTAAAGAAATACACCACAGAGAAATGTTTAAAAAAATCCAAAAGGATTATAGGCAAACTATGGATAGTGAGAATTCTTTTTAAAAGAGATACACAATAAGGAAGAAAAATAAAGTTTTTATATACTATTTATACCTTAATTACACACCACAGTACTAAAAGCTTTCCGAACATTGGCAAGAAAGGCTGAAAAATTTTTGGTCTTCCTTAAATTCTCTTGAAATTCTGCTAGGCATTCAAGATGAGGAGCACTATCTGACACTAGAAGAAAAAAAAAGACAATTTGAATGAGATTTTTTTATGGAAGAGAAATTTTTCCAATTTAGATGATTTCGTCTGACTCAGATCATTTTAATCCTATTTTATTCAACTGATTTGAGCACAGAATGATAGAGACACTTGGTTTCATATCCTAACTATCTTTTGAACCTTTCCTCTGCTTAATTTCTAAATATTCAAATCTCTGTGCTACAATCCTGCTTTAAATTTAAACAGATGGTAGGCAAGGGATTAAAGAGCTTAGTGATGATGAACAGAATGCCATTTCCCATCGTCGTTCTTATACACTTTAACTAAACTATTTTAACAGGTTTGTTTTTTTTTAACTGTTAAGTCAGTTTTCTCTACAGAACTTTGCCTGACTTCTAGTACGTGACCAATGGGTCAAAAAAAAGAACAACACTCAATGCCAACCTTTTTTTTTTTCTTTTTTTTTTTTTTTAATATATATTTTTTAAAATATATCTTTGATTTCAGAGAGAGGGAAGGCGAGGGAGAGAGAGAGAGATAGAAACATCAATGATGAGAGAGTCATTGATCGAGCCCACAACCAGGACATGTGCCCTGACCGGGAATCGAACCCCAATCGCCTAGATCCTAGGTCAACGCTCAACCGCTGAGCCACGCCCGGCCGGGCAATGCCAACCTTAATAACTTACAATTATGGGGGGGGGAATCTGAAGTTTCACAAATGAAATGGAGGTCATTAGAAAATGTGGTCCCTATTCCAAAAGTGTTGTTTACAGGGCCCACTAAACAAATGATACTCAAGGTCACGAACAACAGTATAGATCTCATACGCCGCTAAACCAGATAGTACATATTGGGAGCAAACAAGTCTCCAGAGAGGTTGGTCAAAGAAAAGGAATGATCCAGCATTCTCTACCATTAACCTTGTCCTTTGTTGAGGGGGAAGACATTCGACCACATCAGATTTCCTGCTCTTTGGTAGAAATTGCTTAGGAAATAAGGCTCATGATGAAAGCAGAGAAAGAACAGGAAAAAACCAGTGGGTTCAAAATTCAATTGTAGGTTCTATTTTAATATACTACCAAATACAACGAAACTATTAGCAATGGAAGATATCCAATTTGGAGAAAATTTAAAAGCCAGGTAAGAGGTTTTTTGGGATTGCAGTTTAAAATTCGGCACTCATTAGATCAGAAGATATTTACCCAGAGAGAAAAAAGCCACACAGTTGTGCATGAATTCGATTCCTAAAATATAAATTCCATTAGAATAGGAATGGAGTCATCAGGGCACACTGGAGAGCCAACTAAACAGTTCACCTGAGTGTGTCTCCTATTAATGCCTTAATAAGAACACAGGTATCAAAAGCTGGGAACCATTTCCTGAATTCCAATAAATTAATTACTTTAAAAGGGAAGAGAAAAATATATTTCCATTCTCTTCTTGTTCACACTATTACCAATCATATATATTTCCCATAAATCAAAAAACCATCTGGCCTGTTGAGGATCAGTAACTCAACTAAATTATGTGTAGAAATTTTCAGGATGGAACTATTTTGTAAAATTGATTTTTGGGGGGAAAGTTACCAAATTCTAATGATTTTACATTTGGTTTTAAAATCACCTACTTGGATAAATTATATTAGTATTCACATTTAGGTAGTCATATCCTTTATTGCTTTGCTTTAAGCTCTCTAAAAGGATAATCCACACTTGTATATAAAATACAACAATCTTTTGTCTTTTAGGCTTTTCTGCCACTGTGGCACTGTGCCATCCTGAAAAGAAGTTACTTATCATAGTCACAGCCTTTAGAAGACAATATCCCAAAAATCAAGACTGGGAAAGAAAACAATAGCTGTGGGAATATTATTTCATTCATATTTATATTGATTCAAATAACATTTTCAGGTGCCACTCTTAAATACGTTATTGAGAGGAAGACATACCTTCATAGTCCCTTGCTTCATTCAGGTGCAGGCAAAACATAAATGGGCTATCAGGATGCTTAGGGTCAATATTCGTGAATATAAACTGCAATTTATCACCTGAAAAAAAGAGATTAAATTATTTAATATGAGAACATTTTATTGTGCCAAAGCTTTCGATGGAGATGTGCACTTACCTCTGTCTCTGATGAATAATTAGACACTAAGTATACACAGCATGGAGCAAAAGTAGGTTTACAGTTGTGAGTACGCAAAATACACAGTTTATTCTTGTATTGTTATTTATTAATTATTGTATTCTTTTCCATATGAACTGTAAACCTACTTTTGCCCCACCCTGTATACTTGCTTAAACAATGTCTCCAATTGTATGCTGCAAGTGTTTGTTTTAAAACCTATTGTACTTTAAATATGACACCAAAAAGCACAAATAACAAAAGAAAAAAACACATTGGGCTTCATCAAAATTATGACTATATGCCGAGTCCGGTAAGTCTTTCTGGCAAATCACCAAACCTGATGGTAATCTTGGGGACTCCCAACACAATAAGTAGTGCTGTAAATTGGCACATATACATATAACAGCCATTAGAATATGTATGTGCTTTAACCAGTAATTACCCTCTGGGAATTCCACGGAAATTATACAAAAGAAATGGAAGAGTCTACATTCACTATAGTACATCTAAAACTAAAAAACAGGCAGGATCCAAAGATTAGGTTAGAGGCAATACACATATTAATGATATGTTAATAGAATGAATGATTATACCACCATTTTAAATTTATCATTATGAAGGCTAAAACAATAGGAGAAGTGCAAATCATACAATACCAGTACAAGCAAAGAACAAAAATTATTTGCATGTTGGCAACCATGCCAAAAATACATTTATTAAATACTGGATAAGAAATAACCAAGACATTAGTAATTATGTTATGGTGATAAAAATTTTGTAATTTTCCCCCTATTTTCTAAAAAGTTAATAATGTCATTCATTTACTTGAAAACATGAAATATTTTTACTTTGAAAAAAATTTTTAATTCTCCTCTACTTAAGAAAAGACACACCTTCTAATTACCTGTTTTATTTATATTAATATACTTACCATAAATTTTTCGAATTTCTAGTCCAAGTCGATCTTTAAACACATCTACAGATTTCTGTAACCTTTGTAACCTCTCTTCACTAGCTTCTTTAGCAGTGGAAATAGCTATAATTGAAAAAACATACACACTATCAAAATATTTTAAATAACACTCAATGCTCATTTAATTTTTTAAAAACTTGAAAACAACTATAAAAATGATGCCAAATAAATCTGCTTAAATTTATGGAGTTTCTTTCTCTACCAATTATCAAAAGGGGCTTCCGTTCACTCACAATGGAAGGAAAACCTGTGAGAAAATATGTACGAGCAGTAAGAGGAATGTTTTATTCTATTTTATCGCTTAGTAGCATGAATAAATAGGCCAAGATTTGCATGGCTGGCAGAGAAATAGGCTTCCTTTACACTATTTTGCTTTTTCTTGTTCGCCAAGAAATTGCTTCATTGAAAAAAATTCTATTATTTTAAACATAACTATTTCTCACAAGAAGTTAGCCTTATTTCCTGCTAGTTTAGAATTATTCTTAAAGTTAGCACATGGTTTTCTAAGTAATACATAGCAGATGAGAAAAATAATGTAGGCTAGCATACAAATTCTGTAAGAAAACATATTAACAAAACAAACTGCTACTTTCAAGAGATTTGAGATCTGTGTGCTTCGTTTGTGGGCAAACAAGACTCCTTTGTAAAGCAAGCACTCATTCAAGTATAAAAGTTTTTTAAACAAAGAGACTTTTCAGCATAAAGAGGGTGCTTAATAGTTCCTGGGAGCCCCGCTGGCCGTGGCTCAGTGGTTGAGCTTTGGCCTAGGCTCCAGGGGATGGCAGTTCATTCCCTGTCAGGGCACATGCCAGGTTGTGGGCTCGATCTCCAGTCAGGGGCGTGCAGGAGGCAGCCAACCAATGACTCTCATCATTGATGTTTCTATCTCTCCCTCTCTCTCTCTCACTCTGAAATCAATAAAGATGTATTTAAAAAAAAAAAAGTTCCTGGCAGAGAATGTATGATCAATAAATTTGTTACCTAAATTATACTATAGGTTCTCCCAGGCAAACCTTATTCTGTGAAACTGTCTCCCACTATGCTTAATTAAACTCACATATTAATTTCATTATTACTCTGGCAATATTAGAAATCAAAAGGACCTTTAAGTAAAACAGAAAATAAAATCCACTCAGCTACTTTCATAGACACCTTACAGAAATGAGTCCTTGCTATGCCCCTAGGCATATCTATTTTGGGCAATAAGATGGAGAGAAGACAAGGTAGAGTTGTGAACCATTACGGCTTTGAAATTTAGATTTATGTTTTAAACATGTATACAACTGAAAACTTACTTTTCTTCTTCCTAGCATATTCTTCCTTAAGATCCTGGATGTTTGCAGTCAGCACTTCCAAATCTTGTTTTTTGCCATTTACTTCACCAGTCAACTTTAACAAGTTATCTTTTTTTTCTTGAATAAGCTTATTCTGCCTGCAGATCTCTGTAAAAAGCACAAAGTATTAGCTAGAATATATATGTTTTGTTTTCTAATATGTACCTAAGATAGAGCAAAATATTGACTTTCATAAGATTAATACAGCATGTTTTAATTGATAAATATTTCCTAATGATTAAAAAATGTTTTAAAGAGAAAAAAATCCTAATCTATTCTTTCCTATTTGCCTATGAAAATAGAAATAAAAAGACACAAACACTTTTTAAAAAAAATACCAAATAAAACAAGAAATTTAAAAAATCAGATGATCATGACCCTTGCAGCTCTTCCCCGTTCAAATAAATACAGAAAACTCACCACCAAAGACAATTTAAAAGGGACAGAATACATACAAAATGATGCCATTTACATAACATTCAAAGCCACAATACTAAACAAAATATTAATAGGTTAGTTCTGGAAGGTGGGAGGAGAAGAAGGTATAACATGGGATGTTCTATTTATTAAGCTGGGTTATGGATACATAAATGTTTATCATATACAAACACACACACACACATACAGAATACATTGCTTTACTTGTATCAAGGATTTCATAAAAGATATTTAATCTAAACAAAACTGTGATCTACAGATTGTCACATACGATTTTTATATTCTAGATACATCTGAATCATTCGCTCTTCTTCCTTTAATTTCACAGACAGCTTTTCTGAAAGAGAAATTGGAATTGATGCTTCAATTCAGCTGAAATAACACTAAAAAACAAAGAATAACATAAACAGCATGTTATGAATTAACTTTAGGTACCTGCAAATGCTTTACTGGTGTCCTTGTAAGTGTCTCTTAGTCCCACCATCTGACAGGAGGTGTCATTGACATTGCTTTTGAATTTATTCCAAAATTCATTTATGTTTTTATCTAACAGTGCCAGCTCATCCTCTACCATTTTGTAAGACAATGCTACAAGACAAATAGAACATACATTGTATTTTTAAAGTTGCTTTAATCATATCTGGCATATATTCCAATCAACTATATTTTGGCAGTTTGACCTTTGCTATCAATGGTCAGCAACTTCCTTTTAGCTCTAGATATTCCAGAGCCCATCAGCCACCTGGACTTGACTGTGGTTAAGGTGCTGCAAGATTCAGGAAACCTTTACCTCCCAGAAATTCGTTCGTATGTAACTGCACAGGACACATACACGTCCTACGACCCTTGGGAAAATGATTCATTTTCTCACAAGTAAAATTGGTGATAATCTAACCAACCTTCCCAACTCTGACACTTCCCATTCCAGCACGAATCGCCAAGTCCCAGGTGGCCGGCCCCCTCCCATAGGATAAGAC